ACGCACCTTAAGGTCGACACGAAGACGTAGCCGATGAAATCGGCGCTGCATGCTGACAGTGCTATGTATCCTGGACGGACACGCGAGAGGGGGTGTGTAAGGTGACATGAGACTTTTGTTACATACGTTCGTGAATGGGTGCATTGCCAAAATGGACTAAGCGTTAAGGATGGTGTGTTTGCTAGGAGATGCCGAAGAGGCCAAGTACAAGGAGTTGGTTCCCACGAGGACATTGGCTCGAAGGCGTTTCGATGGAGGAATCAAGCGGGGGTCGGCATGAGGCAAGTATAGCCAGTGCAAGAGAGGCCGCATGGTGCTAGATGGGCGGGTGAGGAAGGGAGCAGTGTGCGGGAGGAATACGCAGGCGTCGCATAGTTGACGAGGATGCGTAGAGGGCGGCTGGGATGTATAGGTGTCGGGCGGGTTGGTGTCGTGGCAAGAAGGAAGCGCCGGCGGAGTGATCCGGCCGAAGGAAGGGAATGCAAGGCTGGGGGAGGTGGTGGTAACTAGGGCTCGAATTAGGAGTGTATTAGCGGTGTGGGGCGGGGAGCAGGGATTTCGCGGTGTACGCGGCATTTGTAGGGAAATCGGAGGTATGGTGGACGATTCCGGCGACCTGAGAGGATGATCAGATTATTTTCAACGAAAAACCAGCTCAAAACTCCATCAACCTTGCTTATGACGACGTGGAGTATTAAGAAGTCGCGCGTGAAAGTGACGAGGATTCTGACGAGGATTCGTCGGCCAAAATGGTGACGGTCTTATCAAGACCCTTCGCTTGCAGGGCATTAATTCGGCGCGTCTGTGAGCCGGATGAATGCCAGAAGACTCAAAGCCGCATTGTTTATCCGATACCTCCATGCTCTCCTGGCAGCAGGACCCAAAATAATTGTCCGGTTCGTTCATGAGCGAAATAAAGTCGATCGCCAATCGCCAATGAGAAATCACATCGGCAATATACGTCCCGTAAGCTAGCCCCGTGCCTACTACGCTAACGATGCTCAGTTGTCCCCGTGGTCCGCAAGAATTCACAAAAGCGCGTACCGTCGACAAAAGTTCCTCTGCAAGTCTCGCGGTTCGACGTCAGCTGGGATGATGCGCTATTTCATGAACGCTTAATGGACGGGACGCCGTGGGCAGAAGCCTGCGGGTCGGCGCTGAAATTGTACACCTCGGGGCTAACATAGAATGCGGCCGGTGAGCGGAAGAGATTGGTGGCCCCGACTGCCCTACCGCCTATTTTGAATCGATAGTTGCTCAGGCCGAGGCCACTCTCGGAGAAAAGCAAAGCTGAGAGATTCTGCCAGTGGTGCACTACATCTGGCAACAAACTCAACTACTCGGACTTGGAAGCATAATTACAATTCAGGTTCAATGGTGTGTAGACGAAAGTTGTCTGGCGCATCGCAGGCTCACAGACATTCTCTGCATCAGGTTGAATCTGAGTTATAATCAAGGATACAACACTAGGAGTATACCGTTTCTGCCTTCAATTTGGGCTGCATAAATTGAACCGAAACCGAAATCAATCACCCTTCCATTCAGTCGACTAAAGAATAGCACGAACCTGCAACAGCCTCAGATCGTTACAGTTGACAGAAACAATGTATGCTCCTCCAAGGAAGACCGAAACCTTGACGTGTAGCAGGGGTCCCAGTCGGACGCTGCATCAGTAGGAGCGGCGCCGGTAGGAGGATCACGGAGTCGGGAAACGATCTGTTGTGGCGGAAGGACGCTCCTCTGGCTTTGGGTTCCAGCATGCCGCCATTAGATCCCACACATTGTCGGGGATGCTGAGGGACCGTGTTGGTCGTTCGCCTTCGAGGACTTTGAACATGACTGCGGTATCCTTGGTCAAATCACAAAATGGAACGTCTCCAGTGAATATCTAAATGACATATCTACTCAGCTTGTTGAAGGAAAGGAGGCTTTGCACAGACCTCGTAACAGACGCATGATATCGCATATACGTCCGAGGCAAAGCTGCTGCAAGCTTCTTCAAAAAGTTCCGGGGCGTGCCATCTCACTGTGCCTCCACGTTTGCCGCTGGAGGTGGACAGGAGGACTTTGGAGTCTGCCACTGATGCCAACCCGAAATCCGCTAGCACCGCTCGTCCAGACCGAGTGACATCTGTAATCGTTTTAGAGGCAAGCTTGAAAAATCAAAACACATGCGCATACAGCTTTTAAGTCTCCGTGCACAACCTCCAAGCTATGAAGATGTTTCAAACCTAGTCCAGTGTCGAGAACCTGTGAGAGAAATGCTCAAATCTATCGCACGAAATTAGGGTGGAAGCGTCCTTGTTATTCACTAAGGTCAAGCGATTAACACCCACGGAATTATTTTTTGAGGTAGCGGGTAATATCTCCATTATCCATCCACGGGGATATAAGACACAACCGAGACTTAGTATCTTCTGGATGATAGAGCCCGAAAAATGGAAGTAAATTAGGATGAGACAGTTGGCGCCAAATCAGAGCCTCATGGTAGAAATCCTACAGTCTCAATGAGTTGCAACGTTTCTCTATGCATGTGTGGCTTGCCTTCAAAAGTGCTTCGACATCGGCCTCTTGGTAGACTCGCATTACTTTGACACACTGCTTCGCTGCGAATCAGGCCTTTCCAAACGTCGGCGAAACCCCCTGCTGCTACTTGGCGAGGGCCATCAAGCTGGAGACGGTCCGAGAGCGCAAAACACCCGGGAATACGGACAGATGAAACTGAAGGTTTGCGAAGAGCATCCAATATCACTGGGCGAATGCGATCGTCTAGAAGCAGGTAGTCCAAAAGCTGTTGCAGAGTAAGTACAGCATAGATGTTCCTCGATGAACACACTCACATCTTGAAGAAGGTCAAGAAGCTGTTGCGCTTGGTCGTTCTGAGCTTTCAAGAAATCATGACGGGCGATAGGATCAGCCAGGGTATCAGCAACCTGAGCGCAGATACAGTGAAGATCGGTTTGCATCATGTCATTGATTAAAGGCTTTGGGAGGTCCTGTTCCTGAGAAACCGGGGTTATTGTTTTTCCACCGATCTCTTAGAAGGGAAGTAATACCTCAATCAATTTCAAGAATTTAAACATTTTATCAAGGACCGAGCGAAAATTGCTCAAGCACGTCGTGATATCCCAAGTCTTCCAAATGTTTATCGATTCCCGAAATTCATCCAATCTGCTATTCTGCAGATATTGCCAGGCACAAACTAGAAAGACTCCGAAAATCTTACCTGTCGTTCTCAGATTTCTTTGATAACCATTCAAATGCGGAGGACACGAGGTTCCAGATGACGTGAATATTTGATCTGAGACATTGCAGAGAGGAACTGACCAGAGGTAAGGCTCGCCTATGGCACTGCAATAAATCAAATCTAATTGGAATGACACTCAAAATTGATGAGATGGCACAGAAAAAGAGTGAAAACACCGAAATGACATCTGGTAGGAAATAAAATCGTGAAATGCCGTCCTCCAAAGAATTAATTTCAAGATGCCACCCAATCCAAACCATCTGAATGACACTGAAAACGAGAAAGAGGAAGAGATGCCTGGTTTTGAAGCCGGCCCATCGTATCAATCAATATTGATTGCTCAACTGGTGCCGACACATCGGATGACTGATCTATCATTCCGGCATCGGTGGCCCATCAGATGCCGAACATTCAACCAAAGGGGGAAAACAACCGAATATTAACCTGCGTAAATATGGTCTGTATTCCACTCACACACAGTTCATGTTGCCAGCAGAAATCACCAGAATCTATTGGTATTTAACCCTCCAAACGATTATGTATGGCCTTCCAGGACACATATCCATATCCTGGTTTACTCGACACTAGATTGCAATTAGAACACCAAGGGGTTTTGGGTATCTTCGACAAATACCTCCCATAGAGCAGTGGTGCAGATCTTGCGAGGTTGAGAGCCTCCATGTCGGGTGGTCAGTGGAAGAGAACGAATGAAAGCAATTCCTCCAGAAGGTATACAATCAATTGTTGCATGATTTCCCGCCGGCCAGTACGCTGCGGTAGAAATTATTCAAGTAATTTCGCGTGGTGTTGACTATGTCCACAGCCTTTCTTTGGTTCGGTCGCATTTCAACTTTAGCCGACAGATCTTGTCATTTCAACTTTTTTCCGTGGATATGTCATTGCAACTGCTGCTATTTATTGTACAGTATATGGCCCACACTCGCCCCGCTCTGTACTGGCCTACACCGGTGGTAGTACCGTAGCCGAACCCGACCAAACCCGAGCAACTACGCAATAAATCGCGTTGACGGGAGAGGAAACAAACCAAAGTTGGATTTATGTATTCGAATTAAGTTGTTGGCCTTGAGCACTTGGTTGACTTGAACCTCGGATTTGATTGGGGTCCGTAAAATTTCCGGGCGCAATAGATAGATAAGCGAGTGCATTATCCCAGTCCGAGCCGAGTATATACAGAAGTAGTGGAAGTGGAAGTGCGCCCAGTGGAAGCGGAAGTGGACAACTTAGCGTGATGTGACACCGCCAGCGTCCACCACTGAATGCGCCGCCGACGTTTCTCTCAATCCCCATTCAGATTGCATTGTTTGAAGTTGCCACCCACGCTTCACTTCCACCACAACCCTTCTGAAATGTTCTCTCTCAAACAGGATCCTATAGCCATGCCTTCACTTCCGATGGTCAGCATGCATTCAAACATAAATATAGAAGGCATGTACCCATTTCTTTTCGGGAAAGGGACGGCCACGATTTTGCAGTGGGCAAGTGAATGCGTGACAACCCAGAAGAAAACACTGAAATTATTTTAGCAAGCTTTTCTCTCGCTCCAAGCAGGTGGCAGTAAATCTACGGGCGAGGTACATACTCATGTGTTATGTCACCGCTTCCGAACTCCGAATATCATTCTGTATCTCCTACGACCAGAAAATCTCTCGCGCCGCACCGGTGCCGCATTGGCGTATTATCTGCAACACCGGGATTCTCCTCTCAAACCCAATAGCGTGAGGTACCCGTGTAAGACCCGGTGGTGTAACGGTATCACGCTTGTTTCACTTCTTTCCAGCATTTGTGGCATCAAGTTTTACGAGAGGTCCCGGTTCGATTCTGGGCTGGGTCATTTCTTTTCTTTTTACCCACGGCGAACTTTAGGTAGTGGCTCCTACATTAGGACTATCGGCGTCAGCGATGACCTGATGGTGTAACGGGAAGGAGATACATTTTGGCGGCAGTCTATTCGATTTTTAAACAATATTTCCCAACCCTTTCATACTTGCTTTACAGTCTGCCGGCTCGTTCTACATTTACCAAATGCCTGCAGGCGTGTGGTCGGTATGCACCCGATGACTGTTGATAGGGCGTGGTCACTGAACGCAGCGAGAATGATCTGAACCCGTCAGTAATACTACAAAAATGTCTTTCGCATCTTTCGCGCCTGGAAAAAATAAGCCGTGAATCTGAGGCAGAATTTAAACGGACCGGCGTAGTTCAGATGAATTACAATCGGGGAGGCAGATTGGAATACGACACATGTAACTTACCAACCTCGGAGTAACAAGTCATTGAGGCCATGGTAGATCTATGAACCGAAGGAGATCGATTTAGACCGGGACTTGATTTCATGCCTATCTGATGCCCAGTTTCAGTAGCCGAACACAGGGATGGCCAAACACGCTCGACACCGTTCATCAGTAAAACAACACATTCGTCTTTGACGTCTTAGGTCTTTGACAGCCATCTTTCACCGTCTTAGTCTTGGAAGGGGCATCTTAAGTCTTTGGGACCACATCTTTGAGTGTCTTGCTCTTGGGGTTGAGATCTTGGTCTTTGGCAAGTATCTTTTCACTGTCGGTATTTTTTTGAAAAAAATTCCACAAGTGAAGTCAAAATATACAGGAATGGCCAAGGAATGGGTAATGAAACATGCCATTTGCAAACAGGGAAGGACTCGGAGGGCATTTGCTGAAACCAAGTCAAAACCTGGCGGCGGCATCTCAATGAGGGTCAATCAATCTGGGGCAGTTCTGACTCCTGACTTGAAGTTTAGGAAAACTTATAGAGTCAGTGAGAGATTCAATTCGTCGGCTCAGAGTCGACTTGGTGAATAAATCGGAGACGTCGCCAAGTGCTGGATCAAAATTGATGGTAACTAGATTGCGTGCTTCGATGGCATGAAATGGTTGGTTGCTCTCTCCCTCCATCGTCTCCCTTCCTTCCTCCCTCCTTCCTCCAGCCTACCGCCGCACACTCCTATCAATATCCAAGATTTCAAGTCAAGACTCAAGAAGCTCAAGATTCCGATTCAAGACCTACCCTCTTGCTGCCTGCTGCCTCTCCCGTGCTTGTGGCTCGCCGCGTATCGCATGCTACTCCTCTCCGTCGAACATATCCGCGCTGCGTCGCGTTGTTTCTGCCGTCTGTGGCTTTCCTCCTGTGCTGCGCCGCATCTTCTGCCGCCTGTGGCTTTCCTTCCCGCGCTGCGTCGCATATTGCCGCTTGTGGCGTCTGAATTGTCTTTCGCTAATTTCTCCTTTTTTCTCCTATAGGTCGTTGTTCCTTAGCACTTCTCCCATGATACTCACGGCACGGAGACTTGGATGTTTATAGCTGGTGAGTCTAGTTAGTTGTCCCACTTAACCTCGACACTAACTGCCTGGTATCTTTAGCTCTTCCGTCCACTCTGTGGCCTCTGAAGAGTTGCATCCCGAATCACAGATCAACTCTACCACCTTCCCGTACCTCGAATATCCAAGTTATCGCACCCGCGCTACGCCCGACAGTTCCGACATGCCCCCACTTCGCCGGTGACGTCCGAGTCCGCCGCGGGCGATGCCGCGGCGTCGGGCATTTTCTCAGTTGTCATATATTTCCCTACATACTTGTACTTCTCGAGGGCTCCAATATAATATTTTACCTCTACATTGTGTGTCTTTAAGGCTCTTGGGCTATCTTTGGGGTGATCTTGAGCAAGATTAAACATATCTTTGAGGTCTTGTCAAAGATGCGCATCATCTTTTAAAGACTTTTGAACCTGCTTGCCAAAGATGCACCGTCTTTGGCAAAATTGTGTCTTTCACGTCTTTCACGTCTTGCCCAAGACGTCAAAGACGTCAAAGACAAATGTGTTGTTTTACTGATGTTCTTGATACTCTCCGGAAGAAACTAGGGAACACTATAAAAGACAAGGCACCCGCCGATTCGGTGGACCCGGCAGCTGGGAACAGATGAAACTGATGCCCTGAGCGCGTGTTAGACTCCGAGAAAGTGGGCTTTGCCGCGAAGCCGCTACGTCGGGTTACACGGCATTACGTCATCACGCGCGTGATCATTGGACGAACTTGTTTGGATAGCTTTGGTCACCGTTGGGCCTGTCTCGGTAACCCAGACGTTCCGGTGATCCGGGCCACGCGACTTCGGGTAAAAAATGATGGACGCAAAACCCACCGGAACGTCTGGGGCATTTGATAGTGTGTTACCCCCCATCCTGTCACGATCTGGCATGTCACGCAACCCTCGATATTGCGCCGCATGCACCTCAGACCACTCAAATTGAGCTGTAAAGGACTTGTAATTACTAAAACTACATATCTGACACAGTCCAATTTTTCGGGGCAGAAAAGAGCTCGAATTGAATGTGAATGGCCTCAATTGGCCTGAAAATATCGCAGTTTTGAGCAGCCCACAGGACGCCAGAAAGTACACAGAAAATTGGGGGGAAAAGCGGGAAGCCATCCCAGGATGCCCAAATGGGAGTAGAACCAGCAATTGGGGCGGAAAGGGGGCGGACGGGAGGAGCAGAGGGATGTGACGGGATGGGGGGTACAGCCCACCAAATGCCCCAGACGTTCTGGTAGCAATCCCGTCCATCATTTTTTACCCGAAGTCGCGTGGCCCGGATCATACCCGGACCGGGATTGCTACCGAACGTCTGGGTTACCGAGACAGCGTTGGGCAAAGTTTTTGAGATTTCGCCCCCAGCACGTGCTTCCAAAATGGGAAATCCGCGTGTCATGTTTGTTCCTTGCCCGAAACAGTAATCATAGGTGGCTCTCGGCTGACTCGTTTCATCCTCCCTCCTCCTCCCACAATCTCTTGTTTCCCTTTCTCTTTCCATGTTTCTGCCAGTGCCAGACGTGTCAGACATGTCCTCAGTCAACATCGACGCGTGTGCCACATCCAAACTCCCACCCCTGAATTCCGAGGCCTTCTTCGCTTGTGAGAACCGAATCCAAAGAGGAAGGACGGGAGGATGCGGACAGATGTCAAGGACAAGACGGAGGGAAATCAAGGATGGATTCGGAAGCTCAACTATTGACAGAGTTGATTGAGCGACGTATCTAGTAATTTCGGTACGTATTTATAGGCAAAAGAAAAGGAGACTTGCGGAAGAATCAAGACAAGAAATATATATGAGTGGAGTCGAGGCAGTGAAAAGAATATAAATGCGGATGGAAGCGGGAAATGTAGAGCGGAAGAAGATGGGGATTTCGGGGATGATCCGAAGGAGGTTTCTCACATTCTTCGCGGTTCCGGCAAGAAAGTGAGATCCGACGCGCGCGATAATCCATCAACGAGCGACGATGCTGCACCCGCGACACAGGCGACTTCAGCTTCGAGTCCCTCATTTAAAGCGGAAGTCCTCCGCCCGAATGTTCCAGCTGCCTCGGAACATCCAGCCTCTTCCATGCCACCCGGTGCGCCCATCGTCAAGATAGCGCCGAGCCGCAAGCTCGTTACCGCATCTTTCGACGTGGATACAGTTGATCTCAGCGCTGATGAAGCACTCGACAACCTCAATAATCCCTAGCTACGGTCCCTTTGCGAGAAGTACGCTGTCGAAACGGCGCGTGTGAACGCAGATATATGGTCCTACGACTTCGTGCACATCATGTAAAATTTCATGCCACTCAGGCTCAGCGCCTCCCTACCTATCCAAGTCTATGCGACGTATCCCGGCTACCCTTACTACTATAATTATACCTCTGTATCCCTTCAGAAATCCCCCGAAATAAATGATATATTGTTGCTTTCTTGACCGTAACACAGAATGCCTCTGAGTAAATTATTCTACAGGTTGAGCCCGTGTCTTGGTAATTGGCCCATTTTTCCATGCCACCTCCTAGACAATGGCTCGCCTTGTGAGTCGAGCCAGCAGTGAGGGGCCCGACTGAGGGTTACCATATAGGGATGAGGAGCAAATATGACACGCGTATTTCCTCTTTGGGAAGCACGTGCTGGGGGGGCGAAAAGTGGCCATCTGTTGGGCAAACCCGCCATTCCAAGGGAGACTGATGAAAATTTAAAATTGGAGGTGCCGGCCGGTGAAACCCTCGGCAATCTGTGGCCATTTCCGGCCATTTGGAACTCTTGGAATGACCGATTTCTCACTTGAGCCAGTCCCAATGTTGTGGGACTGTGTGGGCGTCACAGGCGACCTGTGAGGCACCTTTTCTCGGTCTTATTGGCCCATTGATGCATAATTACAACAGATACGGCAATTCGGGCATCTCCGAGCAGCCCCATAGTGCATCTGGACTGGGAAACCACATTGAATCAGTGTTCTCCCTTAAGGCCTTATTAAGGGCATTTCTTGAAGTTAAGGCCTTAAAACTTAATAACCCTTAATTAAGGGTGGTAAATTAATGCCTTGAAACCGATTTTTTCCTCCGCTATTTTAGGTGTCGCATCAGTGCTTCCGCGCCGATCTGGCCATCGAGACCACTCGAGCTCACAAAGACTTCGTAGAATATGTACACAATTCGGTTAGTCGCCTACACCTAACCCAAAAATTGAAACTCGCTCCCGTATGACCTCAACGTTACTTCGATGGCTTGGTGTTTGCACAGCCACCTGTTGAAATCAATCGAGAGTGACTCCGGGAATGACTGTGGCGGAAAACATCCATAAGACTGTAACCATCCTCGGACATATTTTTGCAACAGGTAATTACAGCACAGAAATCTGTGAACGGGAAGATTATCCGGAGGTGTACCGTAAATTACCGCGGCAGTTAGGAAGTCATCCTATTAGATTATGTGCCCTCAATTGCAAAGATAAACTGAGGTGATGGAGGCTACATCGTCTGGAAGAATCAGTACGTATAAATTAGTCTGAAATGAT